ATTGATTTCCATGAAAGACAAGCGCTCCGCACGATGTACGTCAGCGGGGCGGAGCGGAGCGCTGACGGAGTATGTGGAATCTGGGGGTTATTCTCCTCCTGTTCAGTCACTCTTTGCTGGTTTGTCGTCATTGCATTGTCCCCTTCTTGTTGTCAGTATTCTTGGTTTTGAGCATTTTTGTAGATTTATGTTTGGGATTTTTGCTTTTGTTGAACTTTTAGTTAAATAAAACCTTCAAGTAACAACCTTAAGTTTTTGTTTATGCATTTGGGTCCTTTTCAAATAGTGACATCAGATATCAAAGTGGATGCTTCCCCTTTTGTAATTTTTTGATGCACAGGGTGCATGACAGGAAGTTGGAGGAACCTCTGAAAATTTCCCAGAAACTGCAAAGTTAAAAAGTAGCACTAACTCATCCCTAAACCTAATCCCTAAACCTAAAGAAACACTAGTAAACAGGTAACCATAGACTCATAAAGCTACCAACAATAATTTTGTAGGCTAAAATGTAAAAAAATAAATAAATAAAACATTGTCCCCTGTCTCATGCATGCCACCTTATACAATGTCTGCAACCTGTCATTTACACTGGGGGCCAATCTATGAGGAGAGGGGTTCTCATCTTGATATTGACCAAGCGTCAGTATTTCATGAGTTGGGAATATTTCTTCCTTAAATTTGCTTTAATGAAGACATCAGATCATAAGTTTTTTCACGCTCAATTAGAGACGTGCTAGCATTTTCATACGAAGATAGCCTGCTAAACATTGATTTTGTTGGGAGTCACATCATTAACTGCACATGTTTAATAGCCAATGGATGTTTTAGTTGGTTACGGTTACACATGTGATTTAACTGTATGTTAATTTAAAAAATTGCTATATTAATTATTACTTACTTTGAAGGTTTCCCAAAGGCCACGTTGTTTTCTGTTCTAACATGATTATTTGGCATTTCTAATTGGTTGCTGTTAGTGATGATGGTGTAGGATGCATGAGTTCTTCCAGCAACTGGAAGGTCACTGATCTCAACCCCAGCTCTGTCTGTCTTAGTCATCGTGTCTTTGGAGAAGTGAGTTCATCCATGATACCAACTAATGGTGGCCAGGGCACCTAGTGGCACCTGTGTACAACAGCCTTGGTTTTGATAGTGCCATCATCAGTTTTTATACTGGACACAGAGCAATTATGACATTAAGCAATATTAGGATTACAAAAATGTTTAGCACACATTTGAAATGAAACACCTCTACTTACAGGGGCTCTGACATGGACCCCTCTCTTTTTGCAAAAACAGGGACATAGAAAGTCAAAGAGGAGCCTCCTAATCTTCTCACTGACCAACATCTTTAGCAGCGAATTCAAGAGAAAAACCATCATGAAACTGTAATCACAAATCCAAGCGAACCAGAACCATCCAGAGACACGGAGTAGCTTCTGAAATGCCCTTTTTTATCAAATCCACTCAAGGGTGACCTTTGAAATGTCAAAGGCAGAAAGCTGATACAACATGTTAAAAAAAACCATGAAAGATTGAATGACTATTTTCATATTTAAAGATCTGAGCCCACACAGTGGGTAAATATATGTGACCCGTTCATCAGCAGCTTTATGTACATCCAAGGCATGAGTACATTGATTTAATCGTGTTGAGGTCTCGGCTGGGTGATATTTGAAAAGAAGGTAGGAGACTCAGAAGGCAAACAGGGAACCACATGGTGAATGTAAACCCTGGTAAGAGGAGATAATTCATGGCCTCCATGTCTTCAATGAGCTGATATAGTTGATATGAAGAAGGAGTTTAAAAGCCTATCAATGTTCTGCAGCAGGATCAGGACAGTGATAAGTACTGACAATAGCAGAAAAAAAAGCTTATTTTTCATCTGCTCAATGGGGAGTTCTCACCATGGGGCACCGTGATAAAAAATGACTTGCAGCTCTACTTTCTTTCTTCTCACCTTTATACCTGCCGTTCTGCAGCTCATTCAGTTGTTTCTCTAGTTCACCAATATCTTTTCTTACCATATTCTCTTTTAACGCTGCATTTGTATGATGAATAGTGTTCTTACAGTATGGTGACACTGTAGGAGAAGGGCACCATGAATCTTTAATGTGTACTTTTCATAAATTACTGCTGCACCATCAACTATTACCCAGCCTTAAAGCATTTGCTTCTCACTCTGTCTTTGTCTTTTGCCAGGTGATTGTTAGAGGAGTTCATTGCTCGGAAGTGTTAGAGTCATGACAAAAAAAAGAAAAACATACAATAGAAATGCCCTTTGTTGTGCCACAGTGGGGATATTCAGGGAAATCTGATCAGCATTGGACAAAAGGGAAGCTGACATATCCCATATCCGTACTTGGTGGTGCAATTCCGTGCTTTCTACAGACTAAAGAGGAAACAGGGAACCTTTGTCACTGTCATCTGAGCCAAAAGTTCCTGTGGCAGCAAAGTCATGTCCTTGTCCGTTCTGCCATTTTTACCCACACCTCTATATTGAGACATGTCATTATTCATATCTGACAATGTGCAGCAGAGTCAGTGAGAAATGGCCACATTGAGGCCAGTGTTGGCCAGTGGTGGCAGGAACGTCTGGCTATTCAACATAAAATATATTTATACATTACACAATCAGGTGAGGCAGTCTATTGGAGATCTTCGTGGGTATAAACATTTTTTTAGATAGTCCTTCACTCTGAGATGCCTACATAAAATAAATTCCAACCAAGTGCTTT